ATCCTTGCCTCCAAGGAACAGCCAGCCCAGTTTAACCCTCTCCAGGATGAATCTTTTTGTTTTTTAACAGTCCATGGTACACTCAATACTCTTCTCCAGCACCACAGCTTAAAGGCATTAATTCTCCTTCTATCCTCCCTAGTCATTGTCCAACTCTCTAACGCATACATAACCAGTGATTACAAAGACTATGGCCTGTATCAGGCGTGCCTTAGTCTCCAGAGAGACACCATTACTCTTCAGTACCTTGGAAAGGTCCCTAACAGCAGACTCTCCCATTGCAATACATCTTTAAATTTCTTGGCTGCTGGTGCCAAGAGTGTTGACTAGACTCAGGCAGACTAAAGTTGTTAACAATCTCAATCTCTTCACCATCCAGCCTGATGCTGCCAATTGGTCCAGTGGTGAGAATCTTTGTCTTCTTGACCTTGAACCTCAATCCATACTGAAGCCTGCAGTCCTTGACCCTCTGCAGCAAGCACTTCAGGTCCTCCTCAGTTTCAGCAAGCAGGGTTGTGTCATCTGCATAACGCAGATTGTTAATAAGTCTTCCACCAATCCTGATACCACACTTCTCCTCATAGAGCCCAGCCTCCTGAATATTCTGTTCTGTGTACAGGTTGAAAAGGTATGGAGACAGGACACATCCCTGGCATACATTGATAAATATAAATGGATTATATATTCAGTTACTGTTTTGGAACACATGTAAGATATTTTTTAAAAATTGCTTGCAGTAGAAAGCTGGTTTTAGTCAAACTAATTTTAAAAACAACAAAAGAATATCTAGAAAAAGTAGCCAAGCAAAAATCTAACACTTTACTGTAGATTTGAAGTCTTTAAGTTACCAAAACAACTTCCAACTAAGTAAGATGTAAATTAAAAGAGAAGAATATGTAACTAAAAATGATTAGTTTACATCCTACTTTGAGCCAGGGAACAAGACATGGTTTAAAATTAAGAAAGATGTGCCTCAGGGCTGTATCTATTCTCCATACCTATTGAATTTGTGTGCTAAGCAAGCCATTCAAGAAGCTGGACTCTATGAAGAAAAAAATGTATCCTTCCTCCTACCTGGTGTATGCAGTCAGGAGATCAGGAAACCTACTGCACTGGGAAAGTCTACTGTCAAGGACTTCTCCAAATTACTGAGAAGCAATGATGTCCCTTTGAAGACTAAGATAAACCTGATTCAGGTAATTGTCTTTTCAATCACTTGCTATGAGTCTGAGAGTTGAATCATTAAACAATGATGACAGAATAATTAATGCCTTTGAATTGAGGTGTTAGATAATAATATTGAATACTCCCTGCACTGCCAAATAAATAGTCTTGGAAAAAATGCAACCAGAGTTCTCCTTGGAGGGAAGAATGGCAAAGCTTTGTCTCATAATTTGAGCATGTTGCTAGGAGAAGGGACATCTGCATGGAAAAGGGGAAGGTCAGCAAAAGAAATGAAGGCACTTTAGCAGTGTCTCAAGTATGTCAGAGATGGTGAGGATGGCACAGGATTGGACATGTCTGTTGTTGATAGGCTCGCCATGGGTAGTACTTAGCTGGATAGCACCTCACAATAAACCAAATCCAACCCACTGCCTCATAGTCAATTTCAATCCATGGCAACCCTTCATCAGGGCCTCTGAGCCTGCAAATCTTAATAGACTGCCTCTTTCTCCCACAGAAAAACTGGTGAGTTTAACCTATTATTTAGCAGCCCAATAATTTTAATTCTACTCTATCATAGGGCCAAGTAGATTTATACTTTGTGAACTATAAAGGGCTATACAGTATTACTATTCTTACTAATAATTTTTAATTGAGTTCTTGAGTAACTAAAGTTGCATACACACCCAATAGCATATAAAAACAGATTACTGTTATTAAAACTGTGGAAAAATGTCTACCATGTATTTAGTGACACTCAATGCATCCTGACTGTAATCCTGTGTGGCAATGACTAGATTGTGTCTGATTATAATCTATCATGACCTTATAAAAAAGAAGTCACTTCACAAGATCTCCATTTAATATTCCTCACCTCAGTTTCTGTTTAATTTACAACACAGATCAGTAGGTGTTTTTTGTCATAGAAATTATTTTCATTCAAATTTTATTCTTTTAAAAAGAAGTATTTAAATTCACTTAATGGAATTTGTCCTTATGTGCTGTCAAGTTTCCTGTGACTCATAGCGACCAGACCCTGTGTACAACAACTCTGAACCTTGCTCTATCTTGAGCCAATTTAATTGTCTCTGACACACCTATCCCCATTATCCCAGTCACTAAGCTAATCCATCTCATCCTGGTTCTTCCTCTCTTGTGCTGCTCCTCCACCCTTCCAAGCATGATATCCCTTTCCAAGGAAACATGTCCAAGGTATGTCAGACTGAGCTTCAAAATCCTTGTCTCCAAGGAGTGGCCTGATTTCACCCTCTCCAGGACAGATCTATTTTTCTCTTAGTAGTCCATGGTATATTAAATACCTTCTCCAGTACCACAACTCAAAGACATAGATATTTCTTCTATCATCCTTAGTCATTGTTCAGTTCTTTGTTGCATAGCAAGTAATTGCAAAGACCATGACCGGGATCAGTTGCATCTTTGTCTTCTGACTGACACAATTGCTCTCTGGAGAGGTCTCCTCTGGAGAGGTCTCTGATAGCAGATTTTCCCCAATGCAATTTGTCTTTTAATTTCCTGGCTGCTGGTAGAAAGGATGTTGATTGTGGAGCCAAGCAAACTGAAGCTGTTAACAATTTCAATCTCTTCACCATCTATCCTGATGCTGCCAGTCGGCCCAGTGGTGAGAATCTTTTTCTTGATGTTGACCTTCAATCCATATTGAAGGCTGCAGTCTTTCACCTTCTGCAGAAAATATTTTAGGTCTTCCTCAGTTTTGGCAAGCAAGGTTGTGTCATCTGCATAACTCAGGATGTTGATGAGTCTTCCTCCAATCCTGATGCCACATTCCTCCTCATAGAGACCAGCCTCTATGGATGATTTGTTCCACACATAGTTCGAAAATATATGGAGATAGGATGCATTCCTGACATACACATTTCCTGATTTTAAACCATGCAGTATTAACTGCTCTATTCTGACAACTGCTTCCTGGTTCAAGTATAGGTTTCACATAAGCCCAATCAAGTGTTCTGGGATTCCCATTCTTTTCAAAGTAAGCCACAATTTGTTGTGATCCATGCAGGAAAATGCCTTGGCATAGTCAACTAAACACAGATAGACATTCCTCTAATACTCTGCTTTCAGCTAAGATCCGTCTAAGCTTGGCTGTAATGTCTCTAGTACCTCTTCTAGCCTGAACATCTGGCAGTTCTGTTCATGTGCTGTTGCAGATATTTTGGATCCTTTTCAGTAGGATCTTGCTTGCATGTGATATTAATGAAATTGTTTGATAATTTCTACACTCTGTCGGGTCACCTTTCTTTGGAATGGGAACAAATAAGGATCTCTTCCAGTCAGTCACCCAGACTTCTTGGCACTGGCTGATGTGTAGTTATTTGAACAGCTACAGAAAAAAGATACAAATGTTGGAAGAAACAATGGAAGCCAGTAAGAGAGCAAATACCTCAGAGACAACGATCCAGAAGAAATATATTGATGAGGAGCAACCTGAGTAGCTATGAAAGAAAATGCAAAAGGAGGGAGGGCATGGGGGGAGCAGAGGGGTGAGGATGGGCGAGGGGCAGAGGTGGTTAATCATAGGTTTGTACAATTTGATGAGTGAAGGCAGGTGTGGGTGAAGCAAATAGAAAAGATCAGGTATGAAAAACACTGTATACAAACTTTGTAAATAAACCAGTATAAAAAAAGTGTGACCCTATGATTAACATCCCTCCTCCCCACCTTAGATCCTCACATTTGTTCTAAAATAATGGTCTTATACAGAATTTATCCTTATGGAACTTAGTTCACTTAGTATAATGTTCTCCAGTCCCTCCCAATTTAGGCAGTGATTTACGAAATCATTGCTCCTATGTGCTCTGTAGTATTCCAGTGTGGTAATGTACAATAATTTCTCAATCCATTCAGTTGTGGTTGGACATCTGGGCTATTTCCATTTTCTTGCAATGGTGAATAGCACTGTTTTGCACATTGATGCACAAAGTCAAACTTGAGAACTTAACATTTAACAAAGCACTAATTAGAGGTATTAATATAAAAACTTCAAAATTCTGAAAGCTTCTTTACGGTTTTTCGTTTTATGTATTTGAGAGTAATAGTATTTAAAGTGTTGATCTAGAACTTAAATCTATGACCTCAATGTCCTGTTTCAATTCAGATCTTTCTTTGGAACCTTCTTTCAGTTTTGCCTCAAACTATTTTCATTTTAATATAGATCTAACAGTATATACCACAGAGGATTATAAGGGTTAAATATGTATATAGTTGCTACTCAAAATGTGGATTTTTCTATTCAAATATTGTGATCTTTAACTTTGAGATCTCTTTTCTGTAATAGTTTAGATTCTAAACATTCTAGATGAATATTTTTAAACCAAATTTAAGGACATAGGCACAAAGAATAACCATCAACTTGCAACTATACTATGTTGTTCCATTATGTCGAGTCGGAACCAACCCATTTCTGAATCTCTGGCGGGTTTTCAGAGGCAGTATCACAAGGGAGGAAACTGCCCATCCTTCCTGCATGGAGAAGCTGGTACCCTCTAAACAGGTGCCTTTAGGATTTCAGTGCAGCTTCTTGCCACTAGACCACCAGAGCTCCCTATAATCATAATACGTACTTACTGTGCAAGGTAGATGAGAACATTTACTCACACACAATTATAAAAACACATTTGTATTATTTAAAAATAATTAAGCAAATTAAATTCATAATTCTTACTAGTTGCTAACAATATGTTCTTTATACATGTAGCTTATGAAGCAGGTTATGATCTTTTGATAGGCCAAAGAAATAAGTACCAAATCTGTTTATGATAACTTGGTGATAATTTTCTCTCTTTTTCATTCAAAAGGTGTCCTTGAATGGCCATTTTGGACAAAACTGGTTGTGGTGGCCATTGGCTTCACAGGAGGTCTCGTCTTCATGTACGTACAGTGTAAAGTCTACGTTCAGTTGTGGCGCAGGCTGAAGGCCTACAACCGTGTGATCTTTGTGCAAAATTGTCCAGACACTGCCAAAAAACTGGAGAAGAATTTTTCATGTAATATAAACACAGACATAAAAGATGCTGTGGTAGTGCCTGTATCACAAACAGGTGTCAACTCACTGCCACCTGCAGAGGGCGCTCCTCCTGAAGTTATACCGGTTTGACGGAATCAGTGGGAATTTCTTCACCGAACAAGCCCTCGGCCACTACAAATGACAGGATTGATCCTGATTTCCTCTCTCCCTTTATCTTCTCCTTTCTTCTGACTCATACTTCCGTACTTTGCTCAAAGAGGGAGGGAAGAAACACCGAATGACCAGGATCTCGTGATGCAAAGCCAAGAGTAGAAAGTGGAAATATGAAGTTTGCCAGAGAATGATATCTAAGACAATTACGCCCTATTGGAACAAAGAATGCTTTTAGGCAATGACAAGAGATGTAATGGACATAAACTCTTCACAGTAGCAGGGGTTTGAAGAAGATAGACTTGAATTGCAATGTGTATTTCTCCAAGGGCCTTTTAGTTAACAGTCTCATCTTCAAATAACATACTTGGTTTAAAGCTTGAAAATTGCCTGCACTATCCCTTAAGTCACACCAGAAGCAAAATTGAAGGATGCACATTTTGATATTCATACTTTGACAGTGAATAGATTTTTACAGATGTAATGGAAACTGATTGTTTTGGCAGATGCATGTTTTTAAAATAGTTGCAGTACTTGTTGGAAAATATTAATACTTGGAATTATGTTTAAACCATGAACAAAAGACTTTGAGGGAATTTTAGGGTTTAATTCGTAGTTCTGCAAATTAAAATACTCACACAGAAGTTGAAACCATCTATTGGGTCCTATATTTTATCTCTTTACTTGTCTCCCTTTAAAATAATGCTGTTCACTGGAAATATAGAGAGAACCACAGGTGTAGGCCAGGGCGAAAAAAGGTAAAGTTAATCTTAATACATTTCTAATGTTTTATTTCCATTTTAACATGTTGTCGTATCCTTAGTCAATTAGTTTACATCTTGTTCTTTTGAACTAGCTCTTTAAAATCCATATATATTTTATCTTTACAGTATATTTCAATTTGAATTAATCATATTGGACAGCAAAGTCGAAAATTAGAGACTAAGTTTTTAATAACTGAATATGTTACAAGAGCAGCTTGCTTCATCTTGTTAAAAGTCTTGCATATTAGAACTTTACAAAGCACTACATGAACCAAATTAAGTGTCCTGCTTAAGGCTTAGATGAAATTACTATTTCTGTGAAGGATGGAAAAACAGAACTAGGTATAAAAAATAAAGCAAATCTGCCTGTGGAAGAGCTCTGAAACGGACTGTTATGTGACTATGAAGTACTTATGGCAGGAAAACAAAAATTAAGTCTGTTTTGTTATCAAGTAAAATGTAAGTTTATGAGACTTTTTTTTTACCCAAAAGAGGTGTCAACCTTCATAAATGAGTAGTTATGACCAAGAAGCTAAACCCTATTAAAAGCTGACAGTATAGCCCATGCGTGGTTGAGAAGCAAAAATAATAAGTACAATCTGTGATAAGTGATACATTGAGTTGTTTGACAGTTCAGTTGATTATTGTGTTCTTTGCATATTCATGTAAAACTGAAGTGATTTTGCAGTGAGCTACATTAATGACTGTAGATATAGTGGCCTGTCAAAGAAAGATGTCCTACTTAAAAAAAGATAGGTGATTTATTTTTGTTAGTTGTCATATTTATTACCTTGAAAAAGGCAACTATGATGGCCATCAGAACCAAAGCATGGGTATCACATTGCACAAAACTGGGTATCACGTTGATGCACTTTGTAGTTAATAATGTGCTTGTTCTTCACAGATTATCATAGGAAAAAAGAAAAAAAAAACTTGAGGAAAACAGGTGGTATTAATATTGGTAGTGGCTGACAGAGTACAAATAGTTCTAATTCCTACAAATAAAAAAAGTAAACATTAAATTTGTGTGCGTATGCCGTGTGTATTCATGTGTATACATGGAAAAATATGTTGTTTGTCAATCAGGAGGAAAAAAGTGTTTAGAAATCATCTTTCTTAAAAACATGTTGGGATGGGAGGTAAAGGCATCAGCAGAACAAAGTAGATGTAACTAAACCGCACAAATAAGAACATGGTAAGTAGTTTTTAAAGGGGGAAAAAATACATCAACTTTCTAGAAACTATATAGCAACCTCTTAAGTTTCTGTTTTCAAAATAAATAACATTCATGAATAACAAACTTTAGATGATTTAACCTGGCTTTTCACATGGGAGAGTAACTTTGATTCTATTTTCCTGTTGATTTTCCCGAGCTTCTATGTAATCCATTTCTCTGTGATTTAGCAATGGAAACATGTTGTTCACAAACAGTCCCGGGGAAAATGGTCATTAGAAAACAAAGAGATGTTGATTGCTCTTTTGTTTGCACTGGAGGGGAAAAGGATTTGCCTTATTATGAAAAAAAATACTGCTTAATTCCATATAAATCTTAGCAAGATGAACAGGCAGGTGCACAGTCCATGTCACAGTGAGAGATGATTGTCTAAAAAAAGACTTCATTTATTAAGGGATACACTGAACACCTGAACACTAAGACATTTTTAGAAAGAAATGTAAGGAAACATTTCTATGTTAATGATAATGGTGTTTAAAAACCATAAATAAGTTTTCCATATTAACTTTTATAAGCATTGACTTACTGAAATGGGAAAATAATTTTCTAAGCCAAACTCATTGCCAATGTGTTGGCTTTGACTTAGCATGCCTTCAGGAGAGAGTGGAACTGTTCTATAAGGTTTCCAACTCTGATCTCTACCAGACTGTAGATATCTACAGGAGTATACTGCCTCATCTCCCCTGAGGAGCACCTGGTTTTTTTTTTTTTGTTTTTTTTTTTGCACCTGGTATTTTTGAACCATCGAATTTTTGTTCAGCAGCTAAGCCCTCAAACTACTGCATCAAGGCTCCTTACCTAATAAGTTATTCTGTTAGTCTTTTGACCGTTTTTAGACCCCAAACCCCAGAAATGTAATATTTTAAAATTTTGTTGTGTGACTGCTTATGGTTCAAATAATCTAAAAGAACTAATTGAAACCTAATGTTGATTACATTATTTTTCCACTTTCCATGACATTTTCAAAACCTGACTTTTCAAGCAGTGAAAAGATTTGGCTTTATGGCAACGTTCTGTGGATTAGATAGCTATAACCCTCAAAAATCCCCAGCAAAACTTAATCTCAGGAAAGATAATGTTTGAGCCATGTAAACCTGTCAGAAGTAAAATGGAATTGAAACAAAGGACTGAAATTGAAGGATGAAAATAAAAAACCCAACCAAAACCACCTTAGTTTTAATAAAAACCTTGGCATTTATAATCCTGAATCTGTTATGCTGTTTTTTAAAAATAACTGTCATTTTTATCACATAAAATAGTTCACCGAAGATTAAATCCTGAAAGGATGAAATGCAAGCATTTAAAAAAAACAAAAACAAAAAACAACCCAAACCGAAAAGTACTAAGTAGAAGTATAAAAATGGAACAAAAATGATGGGCACTACTTGAGAAGTTGAAGAAAGATAGGTACATATTGGAGTCTTTCCAAATGTCTGGGATTAAATTTATTCTGAGCTGTAGGACAGTAATACAGTCCTGGAGAGATAGTCTCATAGCTATATTTCACACCCTGTTTCGCAAAGGGTCCTTAAGCACCCCTTAGAACACCTTTTCTTTTGGCTGAAAATTCAACCCTTAGACCAATGACATCAGTCACCCCCAATGACATCAACTGGTGAACATATAATTATACTTAGAATGGATGGGGAAGAGTATTGCAGGTGACATTGTTGACCTTTTCCTACAGGATTCAGATCCTTTGTTTATAGGGTACTCAACTCAACGGGATGGTACATAACAATAACCACCTTGGCCACTGAGTATTCTAAAGAAAATGGAGCACTTCAAACTTACCACTATACTTGTAGTTCTTATAAAATTGTGCAAGACTTACACTTTAAGAAAGATGAAAACTTTTTTCCTTTCCTTAAGTCAGCCCAATGGTGCTATTTTAAATACCAATACAGATGAAAGGAAGTACTGTTCTCTTGGGCTGCAGTGTTTCCTCCACATCTGAAGCAAGCCCATTTTGAAAGTAAATACTCCATTAAACAAGAAAAACATTATTTTGACTGTGTGCAATTTTTGAGATTGGGTATTTGTACTATTTGGATTTTACTTTATTCTCTTGCATTAACAACTTAATGTTTTGTGAATAATGTGTATTAAGACAAATTAAGAAAAATATCTGTGAAAGAGAAACTTTGTATATTAAACATGTGACTCAAATCTCTGTTGTGGTTTTTATACTTTTGGACAAAAATGACTGGAGTTTCTACAGATTTGTTTTTGCAGCATCTAAACAAGGTAGAGTTCTTGATGAATTACTTCAAGGTTTTTCAAAGTTCTGCCTTCTTAAGAGACTGAACAAATTCATAATCACTCTAAGGTGAACCTGCTGACTCAACTTGAATACTGTAAGGAAGGTACATTAATAAGTGGAAATCAAACAAAATTATTCATATACTTTCAAAACCCGTTCTTTAAAAATTCTTTTTTTAAAAAAATCACAATGGAAGCTAGAGAAGTATTTTCTCATAAGTGTTTGGCTATAGAAAATAAGAATACTGTACACTTTTTTTTTCTCTACTTGGAAATAATAGATTTTGAAACCTTGTCCTTACCTTAATAGATTTGGAGCTAATATGCTAAGGGAACCAGATCTCAGATTTAAATATATTCTATAAAGAAGATCCCTTTATTAAGCCTTAAACAAGACAATCATCTGAGATGTGGGAAACTCAGCACGCATGAAGTACACAGCTCAATAGTATCCTGTGAATTATAGCCAGTTTTCACTACAGTCACTCAAGAGCAGGAAATCATACCAAGACTACTACTGGTGAGAAGTCAATTCACTATTCTAAAGGGTAGGAATAGAGTAGGTGGGACAGGTTCATAGTGAAATAAAACCTTACTGTGGCCAAAGGATCAGCTATGGGTCGGTTCCAACTCCACGGTACACAACAATATAACATATAAGCAAAAATGACAGAAAAATAAGACATACAAAGGGAAGATGCAAGGAACAGAAAAGGGAAATAAGCAGAAAGCATCACAAAGCTCACCTTCCATCAGGTTCTGAGGCAGCAGATCCCCTGGGAGGAGACTGTTGTTCATAATTCTCCCTTGCAGCTCTCATGGACTGAACTGCCAGAGAAGCTAATAGTGCAACTCCTTGTTGTTATGTGCCGTCGAGTCGTTTCCGACTCATAGCGACCCTATGTACAACAGCCCGAAACCCTGCTCTATCCTGCGCCAACCGCACCGCCTCTGACACACCCATCCCGATTACCCCAGTCACCGAATCAATTCATCTCATAGAGGGTCTTCCCCTCCTGCGC